AGACGAGGACAGCAATGGAGACGAGGCCTCTTCAGGAAGTAGCGAGGGAGAGGCTGGTCGGACATGACGGAGGCAGAGAGAGAGAGAGAGAGAGATGGATGGAGGGATGGAAAAGAAGCATGGGTACGCAGAGGGAGGGATGGACAGAGTGCGGCGGATTGGGGGGAGGGATGGAAGAATGGATGGAAGGAGGAATGTGACAGATGGGTTGTGCCTGGCCAGAGCTGGGAGGGAGCGGAGAGGTTGGCATCACAGGGTGAGAGAACACACACACACACACACACACACACACACACACACAATGACTGCACACACACACACACACACACACACAAACACACACACACACAATGACTGCACGCTCACATGCATGTGCGCCAGTTAACTCCCCTCATGCACAGTCTCTGCTGTCAGGAAGCACTTCGATGTCTCCCCTTGTGTCAAGAAAACGTCGACCACATGATAAATTGTCAAATAAATAGCGCAGTGGAAATGTTCTGACATATTGTTTGCATAAATTTATTTTCGGCTCTTGCAATCAACTTTCTCACTGAGACGATTCTGAGACAGATTCAGGATTTCACTTCAGAAATTCCCAAAGTCGTCCCAGAAATGAAATCATCTTTGAGATCAGTGTCACCAGCACGACCTGGAGTTCGAGAGTCTAGATACTGTTGAGATGCAGAAGGATACAGGATCTCATCAGGCTGGACTGTTTTTATTTATTTATTTTTATTCCCTTTTTCTCTTTTTTACAGGGGTAATTCTCATGGATAGAGAAAACACTTTTGTTTCTCTTTATGTCGATATCTGTTTCCCTCTTGGTGACGCTGGACTTGGTTGTGTGGTTATTTTAATAAATAAATGATTCTGATTGTCAAGTGTTCATTCATGTTATTCTATTGTGTCATGGTTTGACTTTGTCAGTATATAAGTTCCAGTGTGTGTCATTTACTGCCGTCAGTCTATCTATTGGAGTTTAATAATGTTTTATGCCTCAAAATATTTTCATGAAGGTTGGTGGAAGGAAGGGACATGAGCCGAGAATAATCCAACTATACAGGGAATATTCAAAAAGGGCATAAATCTTGAAAAAGGGGGCAGATCCAGGATGTATTATTCATTATATTATCACTGATTTCCCGGGGAATAATTCATGGATCTTGAAAAAAAGCAACCTATCATTCTTCCACCATGCACATTATGGTTTCACGATCCACATTGTTTTGTTGGCTGTAAGGCCTGACTGAATTTAAGGGGACTGCTGGGCCTTGGTGGAGGTGAGGGCTCTACTGACTGACACATCAGTTCAGTTTTGTAAATTCATTTTTAAAGTTTAAAGTCTATCTGCTCACACATACTTCTTCATATCATTTTTATATTTCACCAGAACACAATCTACCAAATTCCGACAACGCTGCATGTTTTTATTAATAATATCCCTCAGTCCCAGTTCTCACTTCATTCTTCATGTTTTAATGTCAGGCTCTGACGCCTTGTTTGGGTTTTATGCTATTTACAATTTGATCCATGTTTTTGTTTGACATTGATTTTTTTTTTGAACATGCTTTCATTGTTCTATTCGGACACACATGTAATTATATGTAGGACTGAATCAAATCAACGTATTCATCAGCCGTCCTATCGAAGCTTTTAACACAGAATTTGAACGAGATGTTTTTGTTTCCACATCTCATTGTTTTTGAAGCGTAAAGTTACATCCTGCTCAGAAAACTGGAAAAAAAATAATGATTCTTTCCAAAGTTTTATACCTTTAACTTCCGTCAAGTTAAACGTTATTATAAACAGACACCTGGAGGTGAAGACACACACTGCTGCATGTGTTTGCTGGTTTGGCTCCACACAGTGACACATCAAATGATTGTGAGAATTTTGTGATTCGTTACACTCGCAACAATACGATACAGCAACAGGGATATGAGCTGCTACACAAAACAGTGTGTTCTATTGTGTGTGTGTGTGCGTGTGTGTGTGTCTCGCTTTCATCACAGGAGGAACGACGTGACAGCGAGAATGAACTTCACTCTTCCACATCATCACAGCTGGCTGCTTGCTTGTCGTGTGTGTACATGTGTTTCTGTGGTTTCCTGTGTGTGTGTGTGTGTGTGTGTGTGTGTGTGTGTGTGTGTGTGGTACACACACTTGTCTACATCTCAGCAGGCAGGTGCAGCAGATGTCCAGCACTGACATACACAAACATGCACACACACACAGTAACGCCTTTAACATCTACACAGCAGCAGCAGCAGCAGCAGCAGTCCAGTGGGTTGAGTGACTGACACCAGGAGACCCCTCCCTGCGTGACCCTATCAGGTCACTATGGCGATGATAAAGTGCTGAGTCGTGCACATGTGTCTCGGTGCCAGCAGCTTCCATCAACACCCCGAACACGCCCTGGTAATGCCCCTTATCTGGCACACACACACACACACACACACACACACAAACAGCTGGGAGAGGATGGCAGAGGAAGTTTTGTCTTTTTTGTTTTAACCTTAGAGCCAATTAATTTAGCTCCCCTTCAAATGAACCTTTCTGATTGGAGGATTTGCTTTTTTCCCAACATCTCTTTTTACCCTTCCTCTTTTTCTCTTTCTCTATTTTTCCCTCACTTATCCCAGGAGTTCGAGGCTGCTCTCCTTCCATACAAGAATCACACAAAGAACAAGTACTGTTTAATCCCTGCGTAGCCCAGCCCCTAAAGACAGACCAGCTGGAGGCCTTTGTGTGTGTGTGTGTGTGTGTGTGTGTGTGTGTGTGTGTGCACGCTCATGCTAGATCACAGGTTATATAAACCTGTGTTCTCCTTGTGCGACCACAGAATGACTTATGTAAAGTTTTCCTTGCACATGTAGACATATGTAGATGTACATATAACATGTGTAAAGAGGTGTGGGGGGAGGGGGGGTTGCAGAGGGGGTTATGGGTAAGTAGTATCCCCCCCCCACCCCCTCACACAGAGACACACAGACACTCAAGTTCGAGTTGTGTCGCCTTTTGTTTTCAGGGAGGGGGGAGGAGGAGGGTGCAGTGGCTGGATGGATGGACGGCGAGCTGGGACACTGTGCCTCCCGATGTTCCCAAAAAAAAATATCCCCCTCCCCCCTTTTGCCTCCCTCTTCCACCTCCCTCCCTCCCCAGCCAGTGTAGTGCCACTGTATTGTCTGCTCGCAGGCGGGCCGCTTGTTGCTTGCCTTCTGTCCTGCTGTGCTGAGTGCCTGACAAAGGGGCTCTTTTAAATATGCAGACAATCCTCGATCACTTGCGCGCACACACACACACACACACACACACGTTTGTCCCTGCTCTCCTCTTTCCCTCTCCGTCAGTTCTTCCATGGCGAGACCTGGCCTGGGAGTGTTTCCTTTTTTGCAGAGAATCAACAAGTCTCAGACATGAAAAGGATCCAGGAGGTTTCTCTCCTCTCAGTACTGAGTTTTAAGCCTTGAATGAAAGCGTTGTCATGTCAAGGCTAAAAGCTGGAATCCTGTTTGTTGGTCTCTGTGATGAAGCCTTGTTCTTACAGTAAATTTTCACCAACTGCATTTGTATGAAGAGGAAACTGAATTATTGGAAACAGGCATGCACAAACAAACTGAACGTGTCTTTTATTCTCAGGTTGTCAATGGAAACATCTGTCTCGAGCTGATTTTGGAAGTTGCACCAAAGTTACAGAGGAACTGCTTCCTCAGCCAAACCTGCAGATGTCAGTTCACAGAGACGAGCCGGGGGTCGGTTCTGAAAATAAAGCGCAACAGTCAAACATCAGGACGCCTCGAGTCCACAAGACACTTCTCTTTATCCCCCCCCCCCGCCCAGTACGAGAGCCCTCGCTGGCAGCTTGGCAGAGGCCGCTCCCTCACGCGAAGCGACGGAGTGCAGGGGCCCGGGCCCCAGACAGGAGCCCAAGCTGGTCTCAGCCTCCCAACATGTTGAGCTGGCCCGCCTTGGGCACAGCCAAATGGTTCTGCAGCTGCCCCTTTGTCCCCCTTCCTTAAGTAAACAAAGGACAGAAACAAATTAATGACCTACATTCACAGCAAACCTTGCACGGCCTCCTCGCGCACAGAGAGAGAGCAGTTGTCTACAAGCAGATGTTCACTTGCAACACTGCAGATTGCAATTAATGATCAGCAGGCAGCGCGTGACCAAAGGATAGAGCTGCTGTATTTTCTGCAGCAGTTATCACAATGTCTGTCTGAAGTGACGACTGAAATCAGCACAGAGGGCAGGTACTTCAGAACCACGGACGTGTCTACAGAGTGTAAAACATGTTCAATAATAAGATAAAATATACATCAAGTAATGCTAACATCCAAATGTAAAATCAACCCCATCCAATCAGGTACACTTAAAAGTTACCGGTTTGAAATCTTCGCTAAAACGCTTCCTGGAACACGGAACTGAAATCTTTTTAAGTTTCTTAAACCAATAAGTTATTTATCAGACAGAGGACAATGTCATCAAGATTAGTTGTGAGCTTATCGCGTGAGTGTACGTTGGGGGCTTACTGCAGAGACCATCTGTGGCCTAATGAGCGCTGCTCCTTGGCCTCCGAGTGCAGGGGCCTTAAATGCATCTGTAAGAGCAGGTTTACTGAGCAGCAAGACATTAGCTAAAGCTGATTTCTTTACTGGAAAACTGGGCTTGAGGAGCTTTGGAGGGTGTGTGTGTGTGTGTGTGTGTGTGTTGCTGGGGGTTTGGATCCAACAAGCTGCTGCACATTTTCTGTTGCAGCTGATATAGCAGTTGTGCAGGCACGCAATAATACAGTGACGGCACACACACACATACTGAGAGTTTGCAGGCCATTAGCACGGCTCGCTCTTCAGATTGTCAAACTCCGGCCTTTCAGTAACCTTTGTGTGTGTGCGTTCAAGACACGTTTACACAATATATTGGTCCATGCGCAGACAACTTGTTGATGAAACTCAGGAAAAAGAGGAAAAAGCCGAAACAGAATTTCACACGAGCTTGAATTTCAAGATTCTTATAATTTATTGCAGTTTGCACACAATTTTAAAAATGTCAACAACAGCACACCAAAAAATTACAAAACTAAACACAATTAGAATTTACTCCCCTTGAGAAAAAACAAACAAAAAAACAAAAGAAATCAACCCAACTATGATTGTCAAAGCTAAACATGACTAAATCTGAAAAAGAAACGTAAAAGAAAAGCAAAGATTTTTTCTTTTTAATCTCAAGGGAGAGCAAATACATCTCAATCCAAATCTGCTTGTTTTTTCCCCCCAGACAGTGATTGTCCTTTTTCAAAACAAACTCGTCGTTTCACGCCCTCCCCCCACCCTCCACCCCCCCATCTGTCGTTCCATAACCTGTCTATGACATTTCAACATTTTTATACCTTACTTTAAAAAACTCCCCCCCCCCCCTTTTGTTTTCAAGTAAGCACAGCAAAAGAAGGAGATGTCTCATCCGGGTGGTTACTTCATAGCATCATGAGCCGTTGACATCACTACCACAAACTCCACCCTCCACTCACACATCGAAAAATAAAATTTAAATAAAATTTTAAAATTAGCCCGGACTACAGCAGTTTAAGGCGGTCAAGTAGAACCAGAGGAACAGAACGGAACGGAAGAAAAAAAAACATAACAGCAGTAATGATGAAAACAACAGCAGGATGGAGTGAGCCCATATGCAGAGACGCTGCCAGTGAAGAAATAATTTTTCATGGGAAAAAAATTACAAAAACGAGACAATGCGGCTAAAACTGCCGCAATGTCACCCACACTGTTGCACTGGCAAAGCCTGTAGGTGCCACCAGATGACGGGGCGGCACATACAGCCACGGCACACACACCAGCGGGGGCATGTACACACACACACACAACACACGTCTGAGTGAGGGGAAATGCGGAGCCTTCGCTTTTCAGCATCTCTGCGTTGAATGGTTTTGGATTGTATCAACGCTTGACCATTACTTTGAAAAAAAAAAAAATTTGAAAAGAGGTTTAAAAGTAAAAGTTAAAATTAAACCGATGTAGCCCCAACCCAAACACAACATCCACGTACAAAACAAAAATTCAGATCACATGAGCAAAATATGATAAGACATCATTTTCCAACAAATTCAAAAAATTCCTTGAATTTATACATTATCTATTTCTCAATGCTCTACAGTATCAAATACTCCCGTAGCGTCAGAAATGTTTTTTTTTTTTTTTTAATAAAGGCATCTTTTCAGCAAAAAAATCTGATTTCATGTCTTTTAGCCTAAAAAGGTGCATTCAGGCATGCCAATGCTCTCCCGTCTCTCTCAAAGTCAGGATAATGTTTGAAGTGGAAAAAACACACACGCTCACATACAAACATCTGATCACATTTACGCTGCTGCTTCGTCTAATGCGAGAGGCGCTGAGCTGAGTGAGTTACTGTACAGAATCAGCTCGGCACAGCTCGACGCCACGCAACAGCGCGACGAAGATATCTGACCCTTCAACTTTCAGCAGAACATCTCAGGTTCATCCTCTCTGCTTCCTGTCTCTCTCTCTCTCACTCTCTCTCTCCGCTTCCTTCACACTGCAGCCACGTCAGAGCCACAAACCTGCACTCAGACCTGAAGTAAGTGCCCAGTGAGAAGATAAAACCGAGAAATGGCAACGACGGCGTCTAGAGCTGGAGAGGACGGGGAGACGGAAAACAAACATGCAGCCATGGAGAAATGTAACGCCTGAGGAGGAGGAGCAGGAGGAGGAGGAGGAGGAAGTGCTGGGTGGACGCAGATCGTCAGTAGGTTAAATTGACTGGTGATAACCAAGTCACATGCTCGTAAACACTCTCTCTCACACACACACACACACACACACACATACACACACACAGCAGAGAGATCAGTGCATATAGACACAGGCTTCAAATGCTTCATCGTATCGCTTCAACATCCGAGGGTAACACATTCGGTAACATTCTTCTAGGAGCCCAGCGACAGACCTACAACGAGTAGAAAAACCCAACTCTTCACTGTCAACGAGTGTAACGTTCAAACATTTCCCCCCTGATGCAAAAACCACAACTTAAAAGGTTTAAGACAAAATCAAATTTTCATGCATTTTTTTTCCAGAATAATATTCAGATTTTTCAACAGACCGCACCCTGGAGTAGTATTCACAAAGAAAAGGAAAAGAAAAGCCCGTTGTCAAATATTTGATCAATTACAATGTGTACAGTAATACAGCAAATTCACATTTTATTTTAAAGTATACAGGTTTGGACGTCATGCAACAACAGCAGGTCCCATTACAAAAAAGTAACAAAATAATAATAATAATAATCATTAATTTAAAAAAATGGTAAAGGATTTAAGTTTTAAAATTATAGCAGAACAATATACAACAACCTTAAATTAAATTACTTTTTCAACAAGAGATGTTTTAAAGACTGCCAGCTAGATTTAAGAAACAAAATCTATTAATAACAATAATAATATTAATAATAATAATAATTTTAAAGGTCTTTCTCATTTTTAGAAAATACTTCAAATTGATTAAAAGTGAAAAAAGGAGGCTGTGCATTGCATGAGTGCCATCAGTCTGTCAGTCAGTCAGCTTCCCCCTGAACACACGACACCAAAGAGCTTAACGAGAGAAGCGGGGAGCGCTTCGCCAACGACACCTCCATGCCAGTAGAAAATAAAATTAATACACACAAAACTCACTCATACACACTCACGCACATCAGGTGAAATTTTTGCCAGAGTAGTGCAGGACTGCGCACACACACAGACACACACATTTCTTCAAACTGTGTGTGTGTGGTGGTATCGACTTGTTGTGATCACAGTACCCGTTTAGTGTATTGTAATGCTTTTTCACTTCAGTGTGTTCGACCTGAACTCCTGCAGTGGTGTTTGCTGTCTGTGGGACTGGGACCGATACGCTGGCCAGCGTCGGAGTGTTGTTTCTGAGATGAAACACAAACAGAGTGAAAACTCTTCAAAAAAAATAAAATAAAGGCAAGACATTCTCACTGGGACCCATGTCCTTAGACGCAATGAAAACCACCAAACAGAACTTACGCCAAATAAAAATAAGAGTTCAGAATAAAATAGAATAAAAAAAGAAAATCAGTAGTAACATTTTCATGTGCTATTAAAGTGCAATTGAATGAGATTTTGCGACACAAGAACATGACTCACTTAAACCCCGAACATCAAACTTCTCTTCACCTCCCCATGGCTCTCTGCCTTTCTCACTCTACTCTTTCTTTCCCTTTATCAAACCCAGCAGTCTGTTCTACTTCCACAGTTCCTGGGAGCTGTCCTCAATCGCCCAATCCCTGACATTGGGCAGCGCCAGCGGTTCACTCTTTACTGACAACGAGTTGACCAGTTCACAATGGAACTTGCGGATGTGTCGGTAGAGGTCCCCGGACTGCGTGAAGCGCCGCTCGCACCACTTGCAAGCATGCGGCTTCTCACGCGTGTGCACCACTGCGTGGCGGCTGAGGTTGTGTGAGTACTGGAAGCTCTTGCCGCAGGTGGTGCAGGTGTAGGGTTTCTCACCAGAGTGTGTCCGCTCGTGGCGCTTCAGCGTGTACATGCAGGAGAAGGTCTTGCTGCAGATGGTGCAGGTGGGCACGTTGACGTCTCCGGCGGGCTTGGCGCGGATGCCCTCCTGCTCCCTGAAGTGGGAGCTGAGGTGAAGCTGGAGGATGTGTGGGGAGGGGAAAACCTTGTTACACAGCGGGCACATGAAGATCTGGGTGTGTTGAGCTGACAGCATGTTGGAGACGTAGGGCAGCAGGGAACTATCCATGCTGGCCACCTCGGCCTGGGCGCGCTCGTTTTCACCTCCGAGTATGTCCTCCTCATCTGCTGTGGCTGAAGGCTTCTCATCTCGCTCCAACTCAGAGGCCAGAGAGGCCTCTCGCAGAGCGGACAGGTGCGCTTCCAGGCCAAGCCGCCGCTGGACTGACAGAGGCCCTCCGACCCCGTGGTGGGTTAGGCCCCCGTTGGCGCTGGGAACTGTTGCCTTGGTGATGCCACTGTGCTCCATTTCATAGTCCCCACCTCCTAGTTCCTCTTCCTCATCTGAAGCCACGCCTCTCTCTACCTTCACCCTCACAGCCAATGGGCTTTGGAGGCTGTCTGGTGTGGCTGCACCGCTGAAGTAGGATTGGTGGTGGTTACTGTGGTTGCTACTGGGGACAGGCTTCACTGACAGGTCCAGGACACAGTCAGCCACATCATTTGAGACCCTCCTGCCCCTGTGCCCTCCACGAGAGCTCACAGAGCGGTGTGACCTCTGGGAGAGGGATCCAGTGGAGCTGGTGGGGCTTCCGGCCGGGGAGAGCAGCTTTCCTCTCTCCCGAAGAACTTCCCCAGCCTGTGTCACAGCCTCACCGTGATTTGGGCTGGTTGTAGCCAAGGCTGGTGTTGCTGGTCTGTCCGCAGACGGCAGCCGCAGCCACAACGGTCCACTCTCTGCCTTTCCATCCTCCTCCTCATCACTGTGCAGCAGGTCGGCAGTCGCAGGCCGGCCGGTAGAACCATCTGATAGACTGTCTGCCTTATCAGAGCAGCTGGACCCACCGTCATCCTCTCTGCGCGTGCTGTCCGCCTCCGCCGTGGCCTTCTGCTTCAAACGTTTCTTACACACCTTCACAATGTCATACATGTGTAAGTAGCTGGCCGCTGCCAGCACATCCTCCACGGGAAGGTCCTGGAACTGCAGCTTGCCCTCATACATGAACTCCAGGAGCAGGGAAAAGGCCGGGGCTGTGACAATGTCGCTGTTGAGATGCACCACATCTCTCTTGTCCAGCTGGTCCTTGTAGAAGAGGTGAAAGTACATGCTGCAGGAGGCCAACACAGCACGGTGCGCACGGAACTGGACATCGCCCACCAGCACCGTGGAGTCACACAGGAAGCCCTGGTGCCGCTGCTCACTCAGACACTGGAGTAAATGTCTGCTGTGGTCTGGGAACTCCATCCTGCCGTCCTCATAACCTGCAGCCACACAGAAACACAGAAGCAGAGTCAGATCTCAGTACATGTCATAAAAGGTCTCTGTCGCCATAATGTCAGACTTAAGAATTAAACCTGATCTGAATTAGCAGAAATGAACAGAAATGTAGACAAAAATCTAGATATGTAAAAGAGGATTTAAACTAATGAGAGACATTATAAACAGATTGAAGTAAATTAAAAGGTAAAATAAATAAATGAAAAGAGATGCTGAAAACAAGCATCAGAAGAAGACACGCAAGCGAAAGAAACTCTTCAGGAGAGCGCAAGGTGGTCAAAACTGAAACTGCTAATTTCTTAAGGTATATCAAAATAAAACAAAAACGTAAATGCAAACATGCAGCAAAGATACAATATATATTTACATCCACAGAAATATTTCTGCTCAAATTAAAAGACACCACGGAGGTTACTGCAAAGTCATACATCTAATCCATCCTACAAACACACTAAAGCTTTTTATATTAATCATTTTCTTATTTAAAAACATAAATAAATCAAAACAGGTAATTAAGTGTAATTAAAGAATAATCTGTAATTCAGCTTTTACCCAGAGAAAGACTTAATCTCAGGTAAAGCACCAGCGACAGATTCTTCTACTCTGTCTCTCCGTTCTCTCTCTGAATCTCTCTAACTCCTCTGCCTGCACTCCTGGATTGTCGCTGCTCCTACGCTGGTTATTTTTATTAACCCACTTTGGCCTGGCCTGGCACAGCCCTTTTAGGTAACCGGCTTTCAGCTGCACACACTGTCCTCACGTACACAACACACACACCACCAGCCTACCTACCAACCACCTCCACAGGCTAAGTCGAGCAGGAAAACTGCCCAATTGAAATAGCACTGTCGAAAAAGAAAACAGCTTGTCCCTTGTTTAACCTGCGAGCGCCGGCTTTAAGTGTACGATTAGACGGAGGAGGGAGAAAGGGATAGAAAACTTTATGCTCTTCAGGTGTAGTTAAAAAAAAAAGTTGATTAAAAGAAATAAAAAACCGAATTCTGCAAAATTTCCGAAGTCGTTAACGAGAATGAAATCTGTAAAATCCCACCTGTTAACCAAGTGGATTTGTCCTGCCTGAGAAAATACATCGGTCCCGCTCTGCACTGTGTTAACCAAAGCAGTTAAATCACCTCATTTGAATGAAGCTTCACCAAGAATGTCAGTGTGTGTGAGACTGTGTGTGTGTGTGTGGGGTGTGTATGTGTGTGTGCTCGCCCTACAGCTCATTCAAACTGCTTTTAATGAGGGGGCTTATGGGGACAAGGGTGTACCACCTCCCACCTCTCCACACCCCCACCCCCTGTCCAGTCAAACTCCTCTTCCACCTCCTCCTTCCACGCACTCACCATCCGTCACTCACACACTGCGTTCCCATCTAAATCTTAGAAGAAAAAACCCAACACATCCGCTCCATAGTAGAAACTGCCCTCTTCCTCAACCCCCACCACCCCACCCACCACCCAGAAGAGAAGATTTACAATACAATCACTGTAAGTGCCCTGCTCGTCACAGCATCAATCCTAATCCTTAAAGATGTCTAAAAATAAAGACGGCTGTGGCGGCAAACGGGGAGGGAGCCGTCGGCAGAGGCTCAGGAGGGCAACCGCCTGTCAACCCGGCCAACCCGGCCCCCGGACCGGCCGGCTCAGGCAGGGGTCTGAGAAAGAGAGAGACACGGAGGGGCAGTGAGGGAGAGGGTGAGGGAGAGGCTGGGACGGCCGGGGAGGGAGGCTTACCCACATCTGATCCAGCTGACGGGGGCCATATGGCAGCTGCTAGCCAGATAAAGAGATTAAGACTAGGAGGGAGTGCGATTACAGCTGTCTAGCCAATTCAGGCAGCTCAAATCTGCAACTTCTAAATTAGTCTCCTCTACTCCAGCCGACAGGAGGAGAGAAAAGTGGGTAAAGCAGACCGCACATGCTTTCAAGTAATTTTACAGCGAGTGAGAAAAAAAACAGGTTGGATGATTAGGATCAAATGACTGCTGTGCTCACTAGATTTCTTTGCTTAAAACCTCACATTTTTTGTAGTTTCATTTATTTAAAAAAAAAGCAATTTAAGTGTATTTAATTAAATTTAAATGCAAAATGAGTGAATATTTTTTGATTGTTTATCAAAAAAGCAGCACTTTAAATAAAGATTTTGTTTATAAAGAGAGAACTAAACTCTGACAGATGTAACTCTGCTTTCAAATAATGTGTCCTCACTGAAAATGCCTGATAAATATAAATAGCAAACAGAAGACAAAACAACAGCTGAGTTGTAAACGCAGCTCTCTAGACTCCAAACTAAAAAAACACAGCGGACTGGTAGACCCGGACAGCAATTACCCCTCAGACAGGCAGCACCAACACGAGTTCACTACTGAAGCACTCACCAGCAGTTTCACGCAGCGCTCATACAGCTCTGACACACTGGAGAACCCCACAACAAAACAAAATAACTACTCCACTACCCCGGACTCTTCTCTAAGCACTCTGTCTAATACACACTCATGCACACACACACACACACACACACAAAACGATACCTGCAGCAGTATGCATCAACTTGATTAACTCCACTGTAGCAGAATAGCTGGGCTCTCTTGCTGGCTGGCTGGGAATGGCTGTGTCTGTCTCTCTCTCTTTCTTCCTTGCTCTTTCTCTTCCTCACTCGCTCTCTCTGAATCAATGAGTGGGTAGAAGAGAAGAAGAAGAGGGAGGCTGGCAAAAAAAAAAAAACCACGCTGTTCAAACTGCGAGGGACAGATGCAAAGTGGAGGAGATGTTGGAGGGGGAACGAGATACCACCTCCCTCCTCCTCCTCCTAACTGATCGGCAGCCACAAACACACACACACACACACATGCACAGAGCACTAACTCTCCCAGGCTGCCGCTGAGACTCACAATAAAGGACTGGGGAGGGGTGGAGGCGGTGGAGGGATGGAGGAGGAGGAGGAGGGGGAGGAGGAGGTGGGGTGGATGGCAGCCTGTCAGCTGCTCTGACATCATCCTCAGATGGAGATGCTACCTCCAGCTGTGCTCTTTCTACAGCCATATGCTGCCTCCTCTACACTCCTGCCACCAGACTCCTCTTTCATTCTACCAACACCACGCAACTTTGTCTCTTTCTCCCCCCATTCTCTCTCTCTCTCTCTCTCCCTCTCTCTGTGGAGAAAAAGAAAAACACATGGAACTACTAAATGCACTGGGATGCTTTTTTTGTTGAGAAGGGGGACACAAGAGAGTTCAGCTGTGGCGGAGAGGGAAAATGTGTAAAATATAAACGCAGGTTGTGGATTTAAAAAACTTTGCGCAGTCTCTGTTGTGAGATGTTCGAAACCGTCCCCTTGTCTTTCTCTCTAACTCCAGTATGACCATAAACAAAGGCCAACACAGCACATTTGCAATGGACAGACATACGCAGCTGATATTGTTTTCCACTTCTTCACGGTTCACCGCCGCTGCCTCTTCTTGTAAACCATTCATTCATTCGTTCTTTTACTCACTCATTCATCCATCCATCCACCCACCCCCCCCTCTTCTCTTTGCTCGGATCCTTCGACAAGTGACAGGGACAAAAATGAATTGCAGAAACAATGGGAGCGAGTCATAAAGAGGGAAACTAATGAGAGCACATCCTAAACAAAACAGCCAAACACGCCTTTAATAAGCCGCAGAGAAACGTATTACAGAAGCAGTAATAATGATCTGTCCTTTAGAGTTAAAGTGCGTTTCAGAATCTTTTAATTATTGCTGCAAAACTACATTTAACTCATTTAAATAAGGTTTAACTCATCTAAACAACGCAAGGTATTACTTTATTCTCGCCTTGGAAATAAGTAGTTGCAACCTGTGATCGTTTTAATAAGAATATTAAGTTTAAGTTAATTACAAACATTTCTTGATCATTAAAGTAGGAATGTTGCTTTAATTGGATTTTAAAATGACAAGAAATGTGTCAGCGGTGCTTCGCTTCAACTTTCGCAATCTTTAACGAGGGTACAAAAAAAAAAAAATTAGCTCTCAAAGTCGAACACGTTATTTTATCCTTTGACAACTTCACTCGCGGAGTTTCACTTTGCATCGGTGCTGCTGTGTGACACAGTTCAGACATCGTGACAGCGTCATTGCACCGACAACGTGATCGTGAAGTTAAAAAGCAGCTGGGGGGGGATAACCTGTTAACTCCTCGACCAGCAACAATGGGTGTTTGTGTGTGATCGAGAGCTTTTGGGACCCGAGGAGGAAATGAGCGTAAAAGTCAAAGTAACGTTGCTGCTGCTGCGACGAACCCACAAACACAAGAGGACGTGTAATAATCCAATTGTGATCAGGAGACACAACCAACACACACGCACACACACACACACGGTGACCCACGCAGCTAGCTATAGCGCGACCATTGCTAACAAAAGTAACGCGAACAGGCGACAATATCGAGCTATTTACAGTTGTTGCGAAGGCCCCGGTGCTATGACAACAGCTGCTAAAACACCGCAGCTAACACGGGAACTATTCGTGCGTGGAGCCACACGGTCATGCTAAGGAAGGTTTAGCTACTTTTTCCCCTCCGTAAACCCACCCTCCCTCCCGGAGCCTGCTTCAATCGGACTCCGGTGTTGGAGGCAGCACTTACAGACAACACGGTCCGACGTCTTCCCCGGGCTCCTTCCGTCCGGGTCCCCCCTCCGCTTCCCCTCTGCGTGTCCACCGGAGACAAAACTAGATTGACTTTGGACTAATTTCCATAACAGGGCTGAGGAGGCGAGGCGAGGCGAGGAAAGCGGGCGGGCGAGCTGAGAGGGGACGGGGGAGTCTTAGCACTCTGCGGCGGCCAGATGTTTCCGAGCTGTTGCTGCTGCTCAACTCGGGCTGGGAGAGGAGTTGACTGGCACCGCGCGGAAGCCAATGGTGCTGCCGGCGAGGAGGAGGAAAGTGACGGCGAACTGGAAGCGGCCCTCCTCACAGAGAGGGGGAGAGGGGAGGGGGAGTCTTCCTCTCTCCGTCGGCGAAGGTTGACAACAACAGCAGCGGTGGCGGAGCTCTCACACACACACACACACACACTCAGTGAGGAGGCAGCAGCAGCAGCAGCAGGAGGAGGAGGAGGAGGAGAAGAAGAAGAAGAAGGAGCTGGGCCAAACCAACTGGTTCCGCGAGGTGGACTGGCGCAGCGAGAGCGCGCCGCGGTGCCGCCTGGGTACTGTAGTCCAGCCGGAGCAGGCGAGAGGGGAGCGGGGCGGGGCTTGTGTGAGCAGGTGCACCACCTTGACAGGAAGAAGAGAACACGTTGTTTCACAGGCCGACGGAAAAGAACCCGGATTTAAAGGGATAGTTCACCTGGAACTTGAGATTCACCCATTAGCGAGCCACCACTGTGCCGATGGAGGAGAGGGGGAAGAGTTGAGAGTCCACGAAACACTTTTGGAGTTTCAGGGGTAAACAGCGTTGCAGACAAATCCAAAACAGAATAAAACACATGAAATGCCTCCGTACGACTCTTGTGGTGTCGTCAAAAGTGTCCGTAAGCCCGGACATTCAAATTGGATTTGAAATCAATTTATTTGAATAAATTCCTTAATCCGTACCTGAACAAAAACTGTAGCGTATTGTGCTCAGAAATTTCTGCTTTTAGTTTTTGGTAATTCAGCAAACAAACAAAAACAGCAAATAGTGAAAACATAACTTCCTTGGTGGAGGTAATACCATTTAATCCAGCAGGTGACTAAGTGTTGCAATTAACATTATAAACCTCTTCATTAATGTTACACTGTCTTTTCCCCATGACGCAAATCGTGTGTAAAAATATTGTCTATATAAATCTGTTGACTTATTATTATGTGTGAAACAGTAATTTCTTATTAATTGTTTATGTATAGCTACATAATTACTGAATAGAAACACAACAGTTATAACAAAAATATTAATTATTCGCGTACAATAATGCAATGAACCCTTTTTTTAACCAACGGAACAAGGAGATTAAAAAACGATTCTACCTTCAATATTTCACATTTACAGTATTGTTCTCTCTCACTCTAAAATCTGCACGTGTATAAACAGTGAGTCAAACTCCATATGTAAGCATATAAAATAGTTAAGCCTGCGCTATCACAAGTCAAACAAGTTAAGTGCTGTATAGAAGCTCTTTTCCAGAAGATAAGTGTTTAAACAGTCCATTGGAGAGGTCTCACTAATGAATGAATGAATGAATAATTAAAGAGTTAATTAGAATAACTCTCAGTTGAGCACAAACCTCCACCAAGGTTTCAACAGTCTCCTTAAATTCAATCAATCTGCCCCAAATTGCTCACACTCATAAATATCATTCCCCTAAACATGCCGGATGTTTTTCATCTACACCATGAACTATTCTCTGATAAAACCAACGACAAAAAGCCCTGTGCTACAAACCTAAAGAAACTTTTCTTTCTCGGCTCATGTGCCATCAAGTTTTGTGGTAAATTGATTCAGTAGGTTAATAAACAAACCGACAGCCAGAGGTAAAAATGTAACCTCCTTGTTGGAGGTATAAAAAAAAAAAAAAAGAAGAAGCAAAGTGTCCTGCTGGGGGGGATATCCACAACCTGGCAACCCAGAAGTTAGTGTCTAACTCTCAGGTCATATTATCAATAACTTGCAGTGCTATGA